ATAAGAAACACACTGGTAAAGGTGTATAAGTCTGAGTCTAAGTTGTTGTAACTTACATGCTAAACAGCCAAGATGAAGGTGTAAGCAGGGCCGACAAGAGGGCGGTCTGGAAGGGGGCCCGGGGCCCGGCTTCCCCCTCGTCTTGTCGGTCCTGTTTAGCCAGTCCGCCCTTCCTGGGGAGCCTGAAAAAATTCCGGGCCCAGCTTCCCCGGCTTCCCGCCCCCCCTCGTCTGCCCAGTTTAGCCGGTCCGCCCTTGCTGGGGAGCTGAAAAATTTTTTTCACCGGGGCCCAAACCCGCTGTTGGCGGCCCTGGGTGTAAGCCAAACTATCTTAAACAACTTTGGACTTACTTAAAAGCCGCTCTGAATTTGGCCCAAAGTGTGAAATGCTAAAACAGATTTTATGTGACTGTAGTAGGTTTTTTAAAGGATTTCCTAAGTCATAGAAAAGCAAATGTTTACTATTTTAGTAGTAGTAGTAGCACTTTATACACCTCTACCCCAATATAACGCGACCCGATACAACATGAATTCGGATATAACACGGTAAAGCAGTGCTCCAAGGGGACGGGGCTGCGCACTCCGGCGAATCAAAGCAAGTTCGATATAACGCGGTTTCACCTATAACACAGTAAGATTTTTTGGCTCCCGAGGACAGCGTTATATCGGGGTAGAGGTGCTGCCAGTATGCTGCCAGTAGCTAATTAATATAAACTTATTGCAACATAAAATAAAAATCTATGCTCAATTAATCAGCAAATCTCCTCATATTTCGTGTTGATTTGATTTCTGTAGGATGCTTCATTGATTAGTAGTCATGACTATTAAATATATTTTATCTTCTATTGTGCCTTCCAGACAAAGTTCTTAGAACACTTTACAAACATGATTGAACCTCAGAAGACCCCTCACTTGCTTATCATTATTTCCAAATGGGGAAACTGAGGCACGGGTTAAATGATTTGCACAATGTCTTTCAGTGAGTCAGTGGCAGATCTGGGGATTGAAAATAATCCTAATTCTTGGTGGTTCCCTACTTTCTACGCAGACAGTCTTTCCAAGAAAACTAATTATGCCAGGTTGACTATTAAGTGATGCCACAGCACTAAATTACTCTGAGAAGTGTATTATTTAGAAGGAAGATGACAACCTCATACATCAGAAAAGCTAATGCATCACCATGGAATTAATAATGTAAAAGAATGGATTCTAACACATTCCCTTATGGACCAGCAGCTACTATTATTATTTACATTGTATCTTGTGTGTACATGTTGTACAAAATACTTGTACCCCTGTATGCAGATTTCCAAATTAATTAATTCTCATTTGGAGGGAATTTTGGCCAGGCCTCAGCTCTGTATAAAGGGTTGAAAGGGTTAGGAAATAGGGTTGGTGGTTGATTTTTTATGAAAACTGTTTTTCAACAGAAAATTGGGTTTTTGAGAAGCAAAATTTTCCTGGAAACTTTTTTAATTGAAAGAATATAGCTGCAATCTTTCCGTTTTCAGCCGAAAAGTGAAATTTCCATGGAAGATTTTGATGATTACAAATGTTACTTCATTTTCATCAAAAATTTCTATGGGGAAAAGAAAACTTCTACGAAGAAGTCCTCTCTTTGCTCGGTTCAAGGCCGGCTCCAGCTTTTTTGCTGCCCCAAGCTCCCGCACAATTGCTGCCGAAGAAGAAGAGACAGAGTGAAGGACCCGCTGCCGAATTGCCACCGAAGCCGAGGTGCTGCCCCAATACCAGACGGAGCGCCACACCTTTCTATTGGCCACCCCAGGCACCTGCTTTCCTCACTGGTGCCTGGAGCCGGCCCTGGCTTGGTTAAAGAGTTCTTACATCCAAGGATAATTCCACCAAGCTCAGAAAACATTATATTAACATGTCTTTGATATTTTTGTATTGAAAAGTTAGATTATCCTTGAAATATATTTAAGAATTTACATTTGTATAGAAGGGGAAATGTCACATTTAGGCAAACTAAGATAGATGTCAATTTCCAGGACTAGGAAGTCCTTTTTTTTTTCCCCTTCCATTTCAGAAAGTGAGTAAGATGGAAGATCAAGAGCAGAGAATGAGTACATGGTCCTCTATTTTACTTACGTCCATGAGAGAACCAGCCATACGGGGATGCTGATGCACCTTTTATGCACCAGAGGAGTGACTCCACAGTAGCTTCATTCGAAGACAAACACACTTGGGGAGGGTGGGAGTGATCAGGAAAAGCAGATCAGATCTAAATGTATGTGAATCCAGTATCCTCAGAGCACTGCACAACTTGTGCAGAGGGACTAGGATCACCATTCCATTCTGTAGGCTGAAACAGCACAGCAGGCAAGGCAGCACCCATCCTTCCTCCCCTTGAAGTGTGATGATCAGGTGGAGTTTGAACCTGCTGTGAGCATTGAGCTAGTTGCTCCTTTTTAGGGGGGCTGGGAAGGAATTTTTACCTCACCACTATATTGGCTTCGGTGGAGTGGGGGGTTTTCGCCTTCCCCACAGCGGGGTGTCAGGGAAGGCCTATTATGGTGAGTAGAAAAGGTGGTAGGCTGTATGTCGCAACTTATTTTGTAAGTGTGGGGTGGATGTCCAGTGCAGGTACTCGATAGGGAAGGCATCCAATGACCAGATAAATGGCCTGGTAAAGGACATAAAAAGGAAGTGCTGGTTAAAGGAACGGAATGGGGCAGGGAGTTTGGAGCTCCTACGGTTGGAACGGCAGGGAGCCAACCCCCTTTTCTTATAGCCCACCTCAACCCTCCTGTGAGGGGGGAGGGGTGGATGGTATGGTCCTGGCAAAGGATGTGCTGGAGGGACCTGGCTGGAAAAAGAGGAGGAGCTGGTGGAAGTTCCCTGGGTAATTACGGAATAAACGGAGTTACCTGCACTGTACACTTTTATCTGCTGGCAGGGGCGGCTCCAGGCACCAGACACCCAAGCACATGCTTGGGGCAGCACCTGGTAAGGGGTGGTGGGGGGAGCGCGGCGCAGCATTCCGCGGGGGGGGGGCGCGTCCGGCGGCGCG